TTATTAGCTCTAGCTTAAAAGTTCTTTCTAAAGTTGCTTATATAATTTTATTTTATTTATATATATAAAATATAGTAAGAATATTATTAAGCTTTTATTTATCTTAATAAATTAAAACTAGACTAAAACTACTATAAATCTAGTTCTAAATTAATTTTAATTAGAACTACTTAGAAGGTGCTATAGTAGAGACAAAATTAAGTATTTAAATATTAACTTTAAATCTTATTATATATATAATATAATGCCTTAAAGCAATATTTTTACTACTAGTTATATAATATTTTATAGTAAATAACTAGAAGAAAAAAATAAAATAAAGAGTAAATTAAGAAGAGAAAAGAGAGAAATTAAGAAAAGAGAAAAAGTAGAAAAGAGAATAAATAAGTATTTTTTTCTTTACTTAATAATATAAAGAATACTAGTACTAAAAGGTAGTTAAAGCTTAGATATTACTATAATAAATATATATAAATTACTTCTAAACTATTTTAAGACTAAATTAAGCTAAGATAATAAATAATTTATAATTTCTTTACTAAATATATCTTAGAGAAATATATTTTTAATTTATTTATAAAATAACTTAAGTAATTAATCTAAGAAATAAAATAAAAAAGCTAAGTAAAAAAGCTAAGTAAAAAAGTAAAGTTAAAAAAAGTAAAGTTAAAAAAATAAAAAAAACAAAAGAAAAATAAAAAATAAAAGAAAAATAAAAAACAAAAGAAAAATAAAAAATAAAAGAAAAATAAAAATAAACTAATTAAACTAACTAAACTAATAAAAATATTTCTAAACTTTATAAGACTAGTTAAAGTAAGAGGGGGAGTATTTTATAGCTATTAATATAAATTATTTCTAATTTAATTTTAATTTTAACTAACTTACTATATAAAATAAATATATAAATATTATAAGCTATATTTAGCCTCTAGAAACTTATTATATAATATATCTTAGTAATTATAAAAAAGCTATCTTTATAGTATAGTAGCTATATAGTAAAGAGTATATTATTTAGTAATATACTAAGTAAATTCTATTAGCTAGAATTAGTTCTTAACTAGTTTATAATTATTTAGTAAGTAGTTTATACTATTTCTATGTTTTTATCTTTATTCTTAACTTTATTTTTATTTTTATTTTTATTATTATTCTTTTTATCCTTAGAAAGAGAGAGAGAGAGGGAGAAGCTTAAGAGCAGGAGCAGAA